AATATGGGCACACACATACATATATACATGAGACTGGTCTGTAGTACATTTATTCTCTCACCAAATATCACTTTTTAAAATGCAAAAAAAATAACAATGAAAAACATAAAAAAAAAATTATAACATTTTTGTTTGTTTTTTTTAATTAGAAAAATATTAAATAGCGTTTTTATTTTAGTCAAATTTAGATGAGAAATTGCACAGCACAGCAAAGACAATAACTGAACATTTCAAAAAGAAAACATCTGCTTGAGTGAAATCAGTATGAGCCTGCATAGTGCAGACACACCAAAAAAAAAGTTTTGATCATTTTTGGCAAAATATTTAAATTAGAAGTGCTCATTTAGCTGTATGTAGCACTAACTAAGATTCAGCCATGTTTATTGTTAAAAGAATTTTAGCAGCTTTGAATGGCTGTAAATGCAAACCTCTCGAGGGTTTTTCTTTACAATGGTCTTCTCTACTAGCAAACATCTACATTAGAAAGGCCACAACACTGGCAACATTTTGAAAAAAATAAAGTGACATTTTGAACACTATTCCATGGATCTTTAAACCCAACGGTCCCATTGATTACGGTGCTGCAAAACAAATAATTACATAAGTAAGGAACAATTCTGATGATGCCTGATTTTATATTTTTATGTTTGGTTGTCACAAATAACTATCTGATGCAAATATAAATGTGTACCTCTGAAACAAGTCTTGGCAGCATTTTTGAATATTTCCATCTGCTGCATCGAAGGAAGATGTTTTAAACACCTCCACACAGTCGAGTGGTGGAAGGAAGAGGAGACCTGCAAAATTAAATGAAAGCTGGTGTGGTTCACTGAACTGCTACAGGCTAAAGATACAGAAAAGCATTTTTTTTTTTACCTGCAATGCAAGCATTGACTAGAGACACACATGTTCCAGTAATCATGGCTCTCAGCACCAGAGATGAGATGTCACCTCTTCTTGATGGGCATATGGCGGCTATAAGAAAAGAAAATCCTACTATCAGAAAAAATGCTTTATGAGTTTAGAAAAAATGGCAATATAAAACAAAAACACTCACATAGGCCTCCAATTACAATCCCGAGTGAGCTAAAATTGGCAAACCCACAGAGAGCATAAGTTGTAATTATTTCTGATCTGACCTGAAACAAAACAAACATGTTTGATTATTCTGCTTTTTTTTTGTCCAGTGTTCTCAGAAATGCATTGAAATACGGCCAAAGTTTATTTTTCAGTACATAAAGTAAACTATGCGTCCAGTATTTCATTGAGTGATAAATCTTTTTATGTGAGTTCTGTTTCCTTTTGATGATTGTGGCTTCAAGTTTGTCAGAAAAAAAATACTACCGGTATATTATTAGATTAGCTAAATATAAAACTAATTTTATTAGAAAAATGTCCTTCCATGTTACAGCCTTATTACTTGGATTCAACTGGAAAATGGTTCTTCAAATGATTGTTCTCCTTTATACTTGACCATTAGCAACTTGTATTCTTGCCCCTACTCCTCTATCTGTCTCTGGGATCTTGTTTTTTTGTTTTTTTTGTACAAAATACTAAATTTTTTTTTATTTAAAACGATTTCTGGACCACTAAGGAACAGTGCTTTTTATTTCTCTCTAGTCAATGTAAGATGCTTCTAATGCAGCCTGATTTTGCTGTAGCTTAAAGGTATAGTGGAGGATTTTTGCGAATCTTTGAAAAGACCCACCCTCTCCACTTAAAAAAAAAAAAAAAAAATGCACATGCACAACCCTGTACCCACTACCGAAAGGGAAAACCTATTAAACGCGTGCAAGAGCATGCACAAGTCCTTTTCTCCTCGTGCATGCTCAGTTTAAAAGTCGCTGTTTACATGGCTCGTACCAGCTTACTTTCCAAAAGATTTGCAAGTTTTCCACTATGTCAGAAACCAAGTGAAAATGGGGACGAGTACATAGGATGGCCTTATGTAAACATATCACCAGAATGATTGACATTTAGGAGGACCACTTATTTTGATGATCCACCCGAAAAAAAGAACATCCTCCACTATACCTTTAAAATAAGGAGTGTGACCCTTGGTGCCACCTTTAAAGCGTTGGCTCCAGCACAAGTCCACACCTCCTGATTCTCCCCCCAAAATGTTGCATGATATTTGCTTTACAGTCTTCTCAAGGCTCTGGGTGTTTCTGCTTAATGTGCACCGTTTCCAGTACTATTTTTTAATTCCTCTCAACTTTTTTGTTTATATGCTGGGTTACAGTGGAATTGATTATGATAGCCAAAATTTAATATTTTTTTATAAACTGTTTATGTAATAGAATTTTTTAAATAATTTGACCTTGTAAGAAAGTTATGATCAATGCAATGAAATTGCGAAACTATTAAAACATAATACACAAGCTGTACTTTATTTTTACGGGAATTACAAAAAGATTTTTCTGTTGATGGTCAAAATTTATTGAGACCCACCTGTAATACTTACAGATATCCACTGTCTTTCACCTCCGACAACTTCATCAAATCCTTCGAGTCTGTTGTTCTTCAGCTCAGAGAGCTTCTGATAAGCAACAAACTCATTGAGGAAGAGCTTCGTCCCAATGAGCTCAGCCACAGTGAAACTCTCCTCATATGGTATTCCCATCATAAAGGTGATGGGCATGAACACATACGAGCAAATTAACTGCAGAAAAATAAAATCTAATAAATAGTAATAATAATATATCAATGACTGACTGCTGGTTAAAGAAAATGTAAATAACTCGATACCACTGCGATAGTTTTTGTTAATGTAGAGTAGAAAGTCTGGATTTCATTACCTCAAAGGTGATTTGAGGATATCCCACCATACCTCCAAGCCAACTCAAAGCACTATTTATGAAGCCCAGAATGGCAAGAAATGCTATTAAATTAGCAGCAATGTTGGCAACAAGGCCTATTGATGAAGATGCACCGCTGCTAATAGCTTCCAAAATGTTCTGTTCGTCGCTAGAAAAAAAGAAAAGAAATGTAAACATAAAACTACCTAAATCAGTAACAGAAATATGGTGCTTTGAAAAAGTTTTTATTTTTGCTTTTGCTTCACGAAGAAACTATGTCTCAGATTTGGATTTTTCTGATTCTGATGTTTGCTTTGATCACTGAACGTAAAAAAAGTTCTCCTTATTATTGGGAGTGCCAGGCTTGCTGAGAAGAACTACCATCAAGTGTTTACTCACATAGGATGCTTTTTGTCAGGATGATCAACAACACCAAAGTCAGTTTTAGTTAGCTCACTCCAGAAGGGTTCCACTATAGCAACTCGGCCAGGTACTGAAGCTGTTGTGATCATGACTCTGATAGCTGACCTAATTGCTCATTTCACTCACCTGCTTAGCTCTGCTGGCTACCAATTATCACTCATCTCATCCACCTGCTCGCGCTGCTTATATACGGTTCAGCCCAGCTATCAGGGCCAGAGCAGTTTGTGTTTATGTTGGATGCTATAGTTCATGTTTTCATTCTCGGAGGCCAGTGACGAGAGAGGTTTTTATTGTTGTCATAATGTTCCTGATCATGTCCTGTCTCTTATCCACTGAGTGTGCCCTCTTCCTGTTTTTGGCTCAGTGGAGGGAGCTAGTTTTAATGTACCATAGTTTTCCTGATATCATGCCTTGTTCTGCCTTTCCACTACTGAGCTTCCC